CGAGTCTTAGAAAATTGACCGCCTGTCATTCATTACCCTTCAATAGATGCCTGTGGTTCTATTTGACTCTGTGTCTGTCTGATCCTTGGTCTTTAAGAGTGCAGAAATTTGGTCCATATCACACACTTTTAACCTTCTAAAGCAAAATTTCTTGGAAGGAATCCATGAATGCAAACACGGACTGTTTGCCTTATCTAATTGATCTAGGGGAAAAGTTCGTCTCAATTAATAAAAGATCTGAATTACAGATCTGAAAAATAAATAGGATTTGAAGGCATGAAGGGAACCAGGGCAGCAGCCAGGCCTTGAGTTGGTGTTTAGGGTCCTTCTTTAATTAATAGACAGGAACACTTTCTGATTTGCTATTAGAAATGCTGTTTCTTCTACCTTGAACTGAAACCATCCCCTGAGGTCACCATGTAGCTCAATAACAGATTGGCTCACAATGTAAAGAACATGACCTGTGAGTACTGTGCCCCTTTAAAATATCATCTATATGAGACCAAATGGTCAGCAATTACTGTAAAGCAAGGATGTGAAGGTAAGGGGGCAGGGAAACTAGATTACTGGAAACGGAACAACAAGAAGGAAAATAATGAGAACACTGACACATGGTGAAGAGTGTAGCCAATGTCACTGAACAATTTGTGTAGAAATTGTTGAATGGAAACCTAATTTGCTCCGTAAACTTTCACCAAAAACACTATAAAATATTGTTTTAAAAAGAAAGAAATGGTAGTACTTCTATCGTGCTTCAAGAGTTCCCAAAAATGCTTTACACTCCTTCCAATGTGCACCACGTTTCAAGAAGGGATTTGTATTGAAGGGGTCATACTGAAATGAACTAGTTGTCACAAAGCTGCTGGAATCTCTTTACTTCTTACCCTATTAGGTTACATTAACTGCATCTTCGGTTTAATTCAAAATACTCCTCAACCTAAAATATAATAATGTGTCTATATTTAAAAAATCCATGTTGCTGAGTCCATTTTTCTCAGTCCATATTGCAGCAAGGCAATTCTGCCCAAACATGTCTCCTTAAAAGCCAGATGGAACTTTTTCATCAGCAGCAGCGTAGAGTCTGAATATTTTAGGAGGCATCTAGAGCCCTAGCAATCTGGCCCAGGCTCGCTTCCCTCCAGCTGCCTCTCTGGCCCTTGGGAGTGCTTTCCTGCTGAAGCCAAAGGTCTGGGCTCACAGTATATATCCCTCTACATGCTTTCTGTTCCTGTCTATCTGATGAAATCCTCCCCATCCCTGGGGATGAAGCTCCTTGTCACCTCCTCTTAACTTCTCTAAGGGGCCCTGGTGGTGCAGTGGTTAAGCACTCGGCTGGTGGTTCCAGCCCACCAGCAGCTCTGAGGGAGAAAGATGTGGCAGTCAGCTTCTGTAAAGATGACAGCCTTGGAAACCCAATGGGGCAGTTCTACTCTGTCCTGTAGGGTTGCTATGACTCAGAATCCATTGGACAGCAATGGGTACAGGGCTTCACTTCCCTGATTCCTCCTCCTCATTGAAGTCCCTTCTTTCGCCCTGCATATGTTTTTTTAATCTCTGGAGGACATCTGACTTGAAGGGCAAGTTGGGTCCTTTGTACATTTGGGAGAACAATGGCGGCCCAGCTCCAAATGGGAGATCTTTGCCCTACTGAGTCGCACAAACATGGCTGCTCTGTTCCAATTTAGAAGCCTCATTTCCTGAGTAAGGCTTTGGCAATCATGGTGTTTCATTGTTCATCATTCATGAATAGGCTTCACTGTGTTCAGAATTAAAGCTGAATCGCTGCAAATTAGGGCCACTGAAAGGATGTCTGGGAACCGGCCTGTGTGGCTTTAGAACTCCCCCTTTTCTCTGGAAAAATCTTCCGGAAGAATTCATGCCAGACCCTGGTGAGTGGGAAATTAGTTTTTATGATGCAAAAAAAAATAATAACAAGGAGGCCCGGTGGCTCAACAGTTAAATGCTGGGCTGCAGACCAAAAGGTTGGTGGTTCGAATCTACCCAGTGGCACGTCGGGAGAAAGACCTGGTGATCTGCTCCCGTAAAGATGACAGCCATACAGAAAACCCTGTGGGACAGTTCTACTCTATCATATAGGGTCACCATGAGTCAAAACCAACTTGATGCACACAACATAAAAAAATACATCTTTTCAGAAACTGTCACTATAAACGCCATCAGAGGGGGACACATCTAAAAAAGAGAAAGAACAAATCTTTCAGATCAAGAGCACTGCTTCTAGATGTGGAGGCCTTAGAACTAAGGGAAGATCAAAATGGGCCATGATCCCAGGTGTCCACTGGTTTGCTGTTTCCACACACAGCACTCTTTCGCAAGGACTGTTTCAGAGTTCCCATAATTCTTCCAGGAGGACTTTGATTTCTCTAACTCAGCATCAAGGAGCTTGCTGAGGGCCCTCTGCTGAGTTGCTTGTCATCTTGATGATCTGTGTTCTCATCAGAGCAGATGGGTGAACCCACTCACAACTGTGAGATGATCCACGACGTGCTCCTACTGAAGGGCATCCCGGCCAGGCCAGTCTTTCTATAACCTGGGGTGTGCAGTCACCGCCATTTTCCTGGTGAAGGTCCAGAGGTTCTTAAACAATTTGTCCAGATCACAGAGTTAGGGGCCAGAAGCGGGATTCGAACCCCAGCCCACCAGACAGCACAGCTCCTGCCCACTTCCCTAGGCCACCCTAGTCCTGGAGGGCAGAAAGGGTGCTCCAGGGACTAGTGTGAGCAAAAACAGAGACTTTAAACAGGAAGGTATGTTCCAGAAAATGCAAGCTGTTTTGCACTGAGGGGGGTAAAGTGTGAGTGAGTGTATGTGTGTGTGTGTGTGTGTATGGTGTGGGGGATGGGTAGAGAATGGGGCGAGGGGGTGATCAGGACCGAGTGGGGCCTCCCAGAGACTTATTCTCTGACGTGAAGGAGCTTGGGGACCCATCCAGAGGCAACAGTGAGCAGTGCTCCCACGTGGGTCTTGATCAGCTGGCCAGGTGGCTGCAGAATGGAGGATGGAGAAGGTGTCCTGGCTCCATCACTCTTAACCTGTGACGTGTCACTGGGGAGTCACTTTCCCTCGCGGGTCCTCAGTTTTCTCATCTGTAAAATAAAGGAATTAAACAAAAATGAGTTTTCACCAATTTATTCACCACTCTCAAAACCAGTTGCCAAGTCTAGTCATCCCCTACTCACGCATCATGTGACCCTAGGTGTTTCAGAGTAGGACTTTGGTCCACATGATTTTCAACGGCTGTGATCTTTCAGAAGTAGATTGCCAGGCCTTTCTTTTGAGGTGCTTCTGGGTGGATTTCATTACCACCACCCAGGAACTCCGTTTTCCACTACGGGCCCTTTTTATTTCTTCTCCTCACTGGACTACACGGTTTGAGAGGTTTTTTATTTGCAGTTCTACTTTGCTAAGTAATAATCTTACCTACTCTTTTTTTTTTTTTTTTTGTTAATCACAGCTACTCACGCAGGGCACTCAGAACTTCTAATCAGCAAGAGATATCTGCCCTCCTGGGATGGGGCTGAGTGAATTTCGGGTCAAGGCCTCACTCCCCACAAGGATGAGGTTCCGGCTTTATGCGTCACAGTCAGGGAAGCCAGCCTGGGTCCCCTGTCATCTTTCTCTTGCCCCAGGCCGCCTGACGGCTGTCCTGGCCCCCATGGTCCCAGGCATCCCTCTGGATCCTGGACACTAACAAGGCTTACATTTGGGAGATGCTTTGAGGAGGGCTATAAATATTTGATTTGATTTTTTAAACTACTGGCAAAGTAAAGCACACATGAGGGGACAACCCAAATACAGAGGAGTGAAAAATCCCTAAGCGGCCCCTTGCCCCAGGATGGGCACTCTGCCCCCGGGCGCCTCTGTAAAACCCACCTCCTTCCGGGCCTCGGGCGAGGCTCTGCCCATCTGCTAGGTGCTGGCAGCGAGGAGGCTGTGGCTCGTGGGCCTGGTGCCACCCAGGCAGAGGGACCTGCCTCTGGGCTGGCCCCTGCCCCTCTTGAGGACGACTAGACTGGCATCTGTCCCAAAATTGCACCAAACCCTGTAAGTGGAGATTGAAGGCGAGCTCTTACTTAATAGCAAAAAGGTATTGCGATTATACGAGCACGTGATGAAAAATGCCAACAGGACAAACAAAGCCCTTCTCCTCGGCAGCCCAGTCGCCGTGCCTTCCCACTCCCATTACCACTAGCCTCTCGGGTCTCCTTCGGGTTCTGTGCGTGTACAAATATGCACCCCACCCAGAACAACTTTTTAAAGACTTGGACTCGAATGATGGTATTCTAAATACTTCTCTTTGCTTTGTCACTTAACCTTGGGTCTCGGTGCCGGCTTTTTGCCAGCCCCGCGGGCGCCGCCTTCTTTGTACGGCTGTACAGGGTCCATGGTCACGGTCCTGCGTGCCGGGCACCGGGGTCGTTTCCAACGAGGTGTTCGCCCCACTCGTCTGGAGCACTTGACCCCGGGCCAGGGGTCCCCAGCTCTGCAATTTGCGGAAGGTCACCGCAGCTTCCGCTTTGCAGTCTGCTTTCAGCTTTCTGGTCCGAAGTTGCAGCGAGAGCACCCGCGTAGGGCGGATACGTCGCGGGGAGGGGGCGCACCGGCGAAACTGAGGCCAGCGGGACGGCGGATCCACCCGCAAGCCGGCCTTGCCCGGGCGCGCCCGCCCTGCCGCCGCCGTGGGCGGCCCCGCTCCAGCCATCC